TTTCTCCCTGTTCCCACGAGGTGTGGGCTTCTCTCTCTCCCCATGCTCTTTCTCATTCTCTCCCTCTCCCTCTCTCTTCCCCCAACCAAAGAAAACTCTTCACTGAGTGCTGTTTGCACGGTGTCTCTGTCTCTCACTTGCTGCGGGACGCCTTGGTCCAAAGGCCCCAGAGTGCCATATCATTATACCATATATAATCCTCAAAAATCTTGCTTAGGATTTTGATTTCTACCCTATTGGTCACCATTAATATCAAGTTGTCTCCTGGTCTAAATATTTTTTCTTATTTCTATTTTTTAATGTGTATGGGTGTTTTGTCTGAATGTATGTCCATGTATTATATGCATGCTTGGTGCCCTTGGAGGCCAGAAAAGGGCATTGGATCCCCTGGGACTGGAGTTACAGATGGTTGTTAAATGGAAATCAGTTGTGGATCCTTTGGAAGAGTGGCCAGTGCTCTTAACTGCTAGGCCATCTCTCCATGTCCCTGTTCTAAATGTTTTAAAGAATTATGTAGTATTGGCACTTGACATAAAAGCTTCTGAATTAGAAATCAGTGTTATGTGGCATGTGGTTGATTCAACCTGTAGATTTCCATGTGTGTATGTTTGATTGTCACAGTTGCTATCAGAATTATGAGAACACTTTTAAAAATACTTTTTAAAACTCTAGATCCATACATATTTTAGTGAGGGGGTACTTCAGAAAGGGGATATTTCTTTTAAATCTATCATTTGTCTAAAAATAAGGAATTATGTAGCCATTGATATATTTGTGTTTATTTTCCATTTGTTCTAATCCTATGTCTCCCAAACAAGATTAACATGTCTGTTTTGCTTACTAATATCTTATCAACATGCTTATTATTGTTCTACTTTAAGTTCTAGCAGTAAAGCTTAAATTTGATCAATTCATTGGGGGCAAGAAGTTCAAGTAATAGGGGCTAAGGTAGGGGCAGATAAGATTCTCAGCCTGTAAGGTACTTACCGTCAAGCCTAAGGACCCAAGTTTGCTCCTGGGCTCCACAGGTAGAACGAAGAGCTGTCACTCACAGATTGTCTTCTGAATCCCACTTTTTAAGAAGGTGAACCAGAAGGCTCAGAAGTCCAAGGCCAGCCTTAACTTTCAATAATATTTTGGGAGAGAGTAACAACAAATATCCCCAAAGCAAGAGAATTCAATTTATAAAGAGAACTAATTGGATCCTGCCTCACATTGTATGGGAAACACCAATATCTGGAGGCTCTACATTTATATTGCTGCAAACCAACCAGGAAAGGCAGGTTACAAATCAGAAAACTTAAGTAAAGTGGTTCAAAGTCCTTGTAATTCTGTCTGAAAATATGCCATTCTGATGGTATTAATGGATTTTACAGACCCTCTCAACATAGTTACTGACTCTCAGTATGCAGAAAGAGTTGTTTTACACATTGAAACTGCTGAATTTATCCATGATGAGTCAGAATTAATTTTGTTATTTATTCAGTTACAAGAAATAATCAGGAAAAGGAGTCATCCTTTATATATAACTCACACCCGATCCCATACAGGTCTGCCAGGCCCTCTAGCACAAGGTAATGAAGAGATTGATCAACTATTGATAGAAAATGTGCTGGAAGCCTCAGAATTTCATAAAAAATATCATATCACTAGTAAGAGGTTGAAAAAGGATTTTTCCACCACTTGGCAACAAGCCAAGGAAATTACAAGGAAATGTACTATTTGTTCTTTATATAACCAAACTCCACTACCAGCAGGATGTAACCCAAAGAACACTCAAAGGAATGAAATCTGGCAGATAGATGTATTTCACTTTGCAGAATTTGGAAAATTGAAATATGTACACCATATCATTGATACTTATTCAGATTTCAATGGGTAACTGCTTTGAGTTCCAAAAAGTCTGATTCTGTAATCACACATTTACTAGAAGTTATGACCATCAGTTGTATACCTGTACAAATTAAAACTGACAATGCTACAGCATATGTCTCTGTTAAAATGAAACAGTTTTTTGCTTATTGCAATATAAAGCATATTACAGGCACAATCCTACAGGCCAAGCAGTCATAGAAAGATCAAATCAAACTCTAAAGGATATGTTAAATAAACAGAAAGGGGTAACAAAAACTCCCAGAAATAGATTACATAATGCTTTATTAACTTTGAATTTTCTCAGTGCTAATGAGAAAGGAACAACAGCTGTGGAGAGACACTGGATAATAGAAAAAACTACAGAATTAAATCAGCCTATATACTTTAAGGATGTGCTGACCTCAGAATGGAAACCAGGATATGTGTTACACTGGGGATGAGGTTTTGCTTTTGTTTCTACAGGAGAAGAAAAGCTATGGATACAAAATTGATAAAGGTTCGATTTGAACAAGAGAGACCTCTTAATTAAAAGAGGTGATAGTTCATCAACCAGCATGACCATCCAATTTAAACTAACTTATATGACTAACAAATATTTTTCATTTGATCAGATATAACTTGCCAAAAGGGAACCTCCCCAAAATTAGGGTTGGGAAAGGGCATTATTTTTGTCTCTTAGGAGAATGAAGGCTAAGGAATTTGAAGAACACTGGACAAATGAGACATATGAAGAAAAAGGACAAATCATCCAGAGAAATGTCCCACAAAAAAGATTTTTAGCAATGAATCATGCCCATGCCTAACAGTGACCTTTGAAGTCTTTGAAAAGATGATGTGATCCCACAATGATGATTCCACATGGACTATGATAATACCATTAAGCTGACAAACACCACCTAAAGATCAGCTTAGGACTACAAACTGTCCAGGACAATCTCGAGGTGGCCAGCTGAGATGATCCAGCCGTACAGACTACTCTAGCCAGGACTTGAGACAAGCCCTGCACTTTCCCATTACGCAGAGACTGGACAACAAATGATACAGCTACCTCTCCTAGGACTTGAAAATTAACCCAAATTTTTTCTTTTCAGGATCCCCTAAAGATGCTGTTGCCCCTAGACATCAGGAAGTAATTTTAAGAATATGATGCCCACATTCCCAATAGGTGGGGTGGGGTGGGTGGGGTTTGGTCATTCAGTGGGGTTATGGATAATTGTCACTGTTTAGGATGGTTGGTTACAAGTTGTTATTGGTAATGGTCAGGAAAAAAGCTAAACAAAGGAGATTAGATTCAGGGTTCTTGTTCGAATAGAAAAGAAGAAGAAAAAAAAAAGAGGATATAGATATGATAAGATAAAAGGTAGATTATTGAATCTAGTCTGAAAAGAAAAAAGGGAGAATATAGATATGATAAGAAAAAAAGGTAGATATTGAATCTACTTTTAAAAAGGAACTATTAGTTTTAAATATTTTACATTGGATTGGATTTTTGTATATTGTATACAAATTATGTATATTGATACAAATTTGAAATTAATTTTGTTAGAAAATACTGTACCAAAAAAAAAGACAGTCCATGGTATACACACAATGCTATTGACATTAAAATAAACTGCCTTTCTAACCACAAAACATTATGAAGGAAATAAATGCATCTTATTAAATGAAACAAATCAATCAGAAAATTCACATATTATATAATTCTAAATATGTAATATTTTAGAAAAGATAAAACAATGTAAACACAGAAATGATTAGTGAATAACATGGTTGATAGTGAGAAAACAAAATGATTAGGTTAAAAAGGACATTACTGGTAAAACAATTACTTTGAAAATTACTGCGCGCGCGCACACACACACACACACGCATATTTAGTCTGTATATTCATTTATATATATATATTTATATATTAATCATACACACACACACACACACACACATATTACCAGTATATCTGTAATGTGGCACATTATCAAGTTTGAACCTGTCATAAACTATGGACTCTTATGTAAGTTGTCATGGTTTGTCACTGTAAAGACATGGATAGTCAGCATTATACTGCTTACTGTAATGCTCCCAACACTGTCTATAAGACCCAATTCATTATTCAAGTTTGAATGAGACTAGCCAACTTGCAAAACATAATGTTAAAATGTATTCATTACACAATTTGCTTCCTAAAATGTCTGATTTCATCACTCACACAAAAAAGGGTAAATATTTTCTGTGGACTTTTCTTTTTTTATATAGTACTTTTATTTTATAATTAACTTAATTTCACATATCAGCCACGGATTCCCCCATCATCCCTCTTCCCATCCTCCAGCTCTCCCCCTCAATCCATCCCCCACTCCCACCTCCTCCAAGGTAAGGACTCCTCTGGGGAGTCAGCCCAGCCTGGCAGACTCAGCCAAGGCAGGTCCAGTCCCCTCCTCCCTACACCAAGGCTGAGCAAAGTGTCTCAGCATAGGCCCCAGGCTCCAAAAAGTCTGCCCATGCACCAAAGAAAGGTCCTGGTCCCACTGCCTGGGGGCCTCCCAAACAGTTCAAGCTAATCAACTGTCCCACTTATCCAGAGGGCCTGGTCCAGTTCCATGGGGGTTCCTCTGCCATTGGTTCACAGTTCATGCGCTTCCATGGCTATTTGTCCCTGTGCTTCCTCCAACCATGGTCTCAACATCTCTCGCTCATACAATCCTTGCTCTCTCTTGCTGATTGGACTCCTGGAGCTCCACCTGAGGCTTGGCCATGGCTCCCTATGTCCATTTCCATCAGACACTGGATGAGAGTTCTATCATGACAGCCAGGGTGTTCGGCCATCCGATCACCAGAGCAGGTCAGCTCAGGCACTCTCTCGACCACTGCCAGTAGTCTACAGTGGAGGTATCTTTGTGGATTTCTGGAGACCTCTCTAGCACTCTGCTTCTTCCTATTCCCCGGGGTCTGGACCAGGCCCTCTGGATTAGTGAGACAGTTTATTAGCTTGAACTGTTTGGGAGGCCCCCAGGCAGTGGAGCCACTGGGCAAGAAACTACCCTTGCTTCAATTGCTAACCATATGTTGTATAAATGGACAAGCAGGACACAAAAGAAAGGACTGCTGATCTGTAGCAAGAATCTTTTTTTTTAAAAGCATCAAAAAGTATGTTTAATTAATTGACAACAGAGAAAGTTGGTCAAAGAAAGGCAAACAAATTTTGTCGAGTAAGAATTAGAACCGAGGAGCTCCATAATCATCTGGCATCCGTTCAATGTTGTACCTGTGGTTAGAAATGTACATGATAGGAACTCCAGGGATCTTTCGGATTCTTCGTTTGAGGTCCCGGTCAACTGTGGCCACAATGTAACACTTGTGCTGAGTGACTCTCTGGACCAAGCAGTCATCAGCATAGGTTCCTTTGTGTGTGCATGGAAGTCTGTCAAATCGTGGATCCTTGGCGATCCTTAGTGCCACTCGATACTTCTGTCCCAGTTTCTCAATTTCAGCCATCACACAATCAGTTATGCAAGGGATACACTTGGCGTACAGACAGTCCATCATTGACTGCACTAAGTCCAGTTTGGCTTTAATGGAAAAGTTGATGAAGTTGGTATCGACAAGGATGTGGTAAGGTGGACCCAGCTGTGTATTATACTGGAAGAATAAGCAGGAAGGATGCTGGGGGACTTCTCTTTCCTTCAGCGCACTGGGATCTTTCTTTTCTTTCTTTTTAGGCTTTAATCTATCCTTTTCTTTAAGTCTCTCATCTCTGAGACTAAGCATCCGCTTCATAGTCGCATATTTCCTTGTTTTCTTCTGCTTCCCCATGTTCATGCCGCACGCCTGTTTCTTCCGGAATCACTCACTGTAGCAAGAATCTTAAAAATTCTTATTAATAAAATCAAACCTGAGGCCAGTTATTGGGGTGAATGTTGGAAGATCAGAGAGACAGAACAAGCCACAGCTATCTCACCTCACCAGTTCCTCAGCTGATCCTGTTTCCTCAGACTGGAAGCTTCTGAGTCCTCATCCAGAATGAATTTCAGCTGAACTGCTGCTCAAAAGCCTAAAAGCTTAACCACCTAAAAGCTTCTAGTTTCTGGTCCTCACGCCTTATATATCTTTCTGCTTTCTGCCATCACTCCCTGGGATTAAAGGCTCACTTTCTGGGATTAAAGGCGTGAATCACCACGCCTGTCTGTTTCTAATGTGGCCTTGAAGTCACAGAGATCCAGAGGGATTTCTGCCTCTGGAATGCTAGGATTAAAGGCGTGTGCTACCACTGCCTGTCCTCTATGTTTAATATTGTGACTGTTCTGTCTCTGACCCCAGATAAGTTTATTAACATGCACAATATCTTGGGGAACATAATACCACCACATTTCCCCCTTTTTTGTCTAAAATTTAAAAAAGCTCATAACTAAGACAAGAAAAATTATATCCAATAAGTATATACAATATACACAATCAAGATTACATTAATGATGTCTAGTCCATTAACATTTGACAGATTCAGACAAAAACTCCATTATATATATTAACAATGTCCAGTCCAGTAACATTTGATAAACTCAGACAAAAATTTTTATTACTTATCCTATTTAAAACAAGGAGTTCCTTTTTAAAAGTAGATTCAGTAATTGACCTTTTTTATCTGATCATATCCATATTCTCTGTTTTCTTTTCATAATAGACTCAATAATCTACCTTTTGTCATTTTTACATCTTCCCCCTTTTCTTTTTAGAATAGCTTCAATGATCTACCCATTTGTCCTATTATTTCTTCATCTTTTATCTCAGAGTAGAGTCAATGTTCTACCTCATATCTATAATCTCTTCTTTCTTTATCCTTTTTTAAAAACAAAAACTCTGAATCTAATCTCCTTGTTCGGTGTTTTTCCTGACCATTAACAATTAACAACTTGTAACCAACAGTCATAAACAATGACAATATCCAAAACTCATTAAATGACCAAAAACCTCCCATCCCACCTCTTGGGAATGTGAGTGTTGTTTTCTTAAAATTACTTCCTGCTTTCTGGGGGTGAAGAATCTTTAGGGGATCCTGAAAAGAAAATTTTTAGGTTAATTGTCAAGTCCTGTATCATTTGTCCAGTCTCTGCATAATAGGAAAGTTCACGGCTTGTCACAAGTCCTTGTTTGTGTAGTCTGTCAGACTGGATCTTCTCAGCTAGTCATCTTGAAATTGTCCTGACCAGTTTGTAGTTCAAAGTCGATCTTTCTGTGGTGTTAATCAGCTTAATGGCATTATCATCGTCCATGTGGAATCATCATTGTGGGATCCTGTCATCTTTTTGAAGATTTCAAAGTTGATATAATGTGGTGGTATTATGTTCCCCAAGATATTGTGCATGTTAATAAACTTATCTGGGGTCAGAGACAGAACAGTCACAATATTAAACATAGAGGACAGGCAGTGGTAGCACACGCCTTTAATCCTAGCATTCCAGAGGCAGAAATCCCTCTGGATCTCTGTGACTTCAAGGCCACATTAGAAACAGACAGGCGTGGTGATTCACGCCTTTAATCCCAGAAAGTGAGCCTTTAATCCCAGGGAGTGATGGCAGAAAGCAGAAAGATATATAAGGCGTGAGGACCAGAAACTAGAAGCTTTTAGGTGGTTAAGCTTTTAGGCTTTTGAGCAGCAGTTCAGCTGAAATTCATTCTGGATGAGGACACAGAGGCATCCAGTCTGAGGAAACAAGATCAGCCGAGGAACTGTGGAGGTTCTGCTTCTCTGATCTTCCAGCATTCACCCCAATAACTGGCCTCAGGTTTGATTTTATTAATAAGAACTTTTAAGATTAATGCCAAAACAAGGTAGGACAGCCCTTCAGAAAATCCTGCTTCACAGAAAAGTATGTCAGATATGCTAGGCCTGCAGGCTGAAGATGGATGCCACAATGTTGCAGAGGAACCTTGGGTGGTCCAGGTAGTCAGCTGTTTCTGTCATTTCTCACATTTTTTGGAAGTTGCTTGTTTGCACTTCATGCTTACTCAGGTAATATTATTTCCTTCTTGGGTCTCTGAGGAAGTTCAAGACTAGATAGTTATAGTTATAGTTTTCCTTGTTAACAAATTTGGAAAAGAAACTCACTAAAGAGGTGTAAAGTGTACAAGTTTAAAAGACATCAAAAGATAGTTTTCAGTTGGTAACACAAATTAGGATAGAAAGTAAATTAGGTACAACATTTCAGACTCATGAAAATAGGATAAATAATGGCATATTTTCTCTGAATCTGTCAAATGTTAATGGACTAGACATTGTTAATATAATTCTTGACTGTATATATTATATATACTTATTATTCTTATTGTATATAGCTTTTCTTATATTAGTTGTAACCTTCTTTTATTATTTTAGACAAAAAGGGTAAATGTGGTGATATATTGTATATCAAATAAAGCTTGCCTGAGGATCAGAGGACAGAGCAAGCCACTAGATTAAACATAGAGGTCAGGCAGTGGTGGCATACACCTTTAATTCTAGCAGTCAGGAAGCAGAGATCTCTGTGATCTCTGGATCTCTATGAGTTCAAAGCCACCCTGGACTACATGAGATTGATTCAGTCTAGGAGAGAAACAGAGCCAGGCAGTGGTGACACACACCTTTAATCCCAGCACTTGAAATCTAATGCTTTTGCTACCAGTATTTGGGAAGCACACACACCATTGATCTCAGCACTAGGAAGGAAGTGAAATGGCTGGGCAGAGAAAGGCATATAAGACCTGAGGATACAGTTACAAGAGCTTTTCATGTCAGGACTCAGAGGCTTTCAGTCAGAGGCTTCGTGGAGATAGGATCACCTTCCATAAGGCCTGAGGATTCAGCAGTGGTGAGAAGTCTCTCTAATGACTTGTCCCTTTGTCTCTCTGATCTTTCAGCATCCACCCCAATATCTGGCTCCAGGTTTTCATTATAAGACCATTTAGGATTCGTGCAACAGTGACCAATTTACTTCATCATAAAAATGTAATTGACAATGAAATTCTAAAGTGTAAAACATCTTTCCTGGGCTGGGGAATGAGCTCAAACCAGTTGAGCACCTGCCAAACATCAGGAAGCCCTGGACTCGATACCCACAACACACGAACTGGGGGTGGAGGTATAGGTACGAAATTCTGGCACTTAGGAGAAGGAAGCAAGGACATTGGAAGTTTAATGTCCTCTTCAGCTGTGGAGGCAGTTCAAGGACAGCCTGGGTTACTTGGAACCTTTAAAATATAAAAAATAAACATATTAAAATATAAAAATATAAAAAATAAAAAGAAAACAACTACAAAAAGTCCTTTCTTCAGAATTTTAATAAAGAGGCTGTTTTTACTGCGCAGACGTTCACTGACAGGTGTAGAACTTGAGGCTGGGCACATGTGGCCTTCTTAAAGCAGCTGTTGTAATATCATTGTTGATGCACTATCTGAAAGAATTTTTCCTTCCAGAAGAAAGAGAACTAATACATTATAATGACATAAAGTATTTGGCCATTATGTTTTTCCTAAAGAACTTTCCTTACTTGGTTCCACGGACACTAAGCAACCCTATGAGTTTGGCTGCACTTGAAGTTTCTAACAGGCAAAGTCCCAGCAGACAGCTCCATTCAAGTCCTGTGTCAATTACTATCCATTCTAGGACAGAGTTTAATCCCATCATTCTGTGCTGAGTCAGACCCATAGGGAACCATAGTCCAGCCAGTCTGTAGGATACTGTGAGACTATACTGAGCTGTCCTTTAGGGATAGGGCTGTACTTAGTTGGCCAGGTGGCTACCTGAATGTTTCTACAGAATGGTAACAATTTATAGTAGGAAATTTATCTTAGGAAACAATGGATCATAGATGTCTCCCCTTCCTAGTAGTAACAACTCAGTTTCCTTTGGGTAAACTGCCTTGTCTGCACACTCCTGTAGTTTGAAGGGTTGATCCCACCACCACCCTCACCCCAAGCATGGGACCCTGTGCTCTCCACCCAGAATTATTAGTGTTGGCTGGAAGATTGGGCATGTGATCTTGTCCAGGCTAATGACACTTAGCTAAGACTTTCAGAAACCATTGGAAAGCTGGGTGGTGGTGGTGGTGCATGCCTTTAATCCCAGCACTCGGGAACCAATCAGGTAGATCTCTGAGTTTGAGGCCAGCCTAGTCTACAAAAAGAGTTCCAGGATGGCCATGGCTACACAGAGAAACCTTGCTTTGATGCCCTCCACCAAAAAAATACATTTACTAAAGAATCTTTTGATCAAAATGGAATACAACTACAGTAATACACTTTAGAAAACCATGAAATATACTGTCTCAGTTTGGGTTTTATTGCTGTGAAGAAACACCATGACCACAGCAATTCTTGTAAGGGAAAACATTTAACTGGGGCTGGCTTACAGTTTCAGAGGTTTAGTCCATTATTGTCATAGAGGGGAGCATGGTGACATGCAGGCAGACATGGTGCTGGAAAAGGAGCTGAAAGTTCTATAAGCTTCTGAGACCTCAAAGCCCACCCCCTACTGATACACTTCCTCCAGGAATGCCACACCCACTCTAGCAAGGTCACACCTCCTAATAGTGCCACTCCTTATGAGCCTATAGGGACCTGTTTTCTTTTAGACCACCACATAGGCCAAGTACTATTGCACAAACTTAGAGGATAATTCTTTTACTATCAGGCAGATGTTCGCCACGCCAACCCACAGAGAAGCTGTTTATCCCTTTGCAGGGTCTTCTGGGTCTGTCTGTGTCTTAAGTTCTGCTGCCCTCTGTCTCTAGTTAGAAGCTGTCAGTCCAGAAACCCTGACACAAACATGGCATGAGCCAGGGTGAGGCAGCAAGCAGTGCAGCACTTAAGGAGC